TTACTACAGTATCATGATGCTACACCCTCTCCTGTATGCTTCCTAAGCCCGAGACTTCTTCCTGCAGAAACGAGATACTCCACCATAGAAAAAAATGTTTGGCCCTTGTGTCGGGTATCTCCAAACTTAAATTTTATTTACTGGGAAAAGAATTCATTTCAGAGACGGATCACAAACCTTTGATATACCTAGATACTTTTAAGGGAACCAACAGTCACCTCTTGAGATGGACATTGGCACTCCAAGCTTTTAAGTTTCATATTGTGTATATCAATGATTCATCCAATTATTTCTCTGACTGGTTAAGTCGTGACAGTCAGTAGATTTGGTGACTTACGTGACTTCCACATGTTAGAACTTTTTCCTCGCCTATTCTTCTTATACTCCTTGACTATAAGTCTTGGTAAGGGGGAGTGTGAGGGAAATATTCAACAGATACGAGTAGCGAGCGAGTATATGGTGATGATAGTTTGATTGCCTGTCTGCTTGTTAAGGTAAGGTCAGTCTAGCTCCCCCTATCCCCCCCCTTTTTCTCCACCCAGAAAGGAGACATGTGGGGCTTCGACCAAATGGTAATCACTTTACTCACAGCTCCCAACACAACTCTTAGAATGTCAGCTCAGGTCATCTGGCAACCAAAGAAACAATGTTGAAGGAGACGAACTTCACGAACTCTGGGACATCACTTTTTATCTACATACCTGATAAGTGTAGCCAACCCCAGGCAACTACCCCTCATCTTTGCAATGGTGAAAGACCTGCGTTCCTATCATCTTGACGAATTATCCAAGGCTAGAGACTCTCTGAAAAACTAGTTGTTGGGTTGTCACTCAACAGCTGTGACCCCCCCCCACTTCATCAGCAACGGCTACAATTTCTACAATACGCGGTGTCAACATCAACCAAGACACCCCAGTCTAACTGTACATATTAATTCTAACAATAAAGTGTTTATATTACAAGGTTATTGTTCTTTTTTTCTGTTCACTAATTTTCCTAAGGAGGAGCCAGCCTTGGTAAGACCAACTGAAGATCTTACAGGGCTGAGTAAGCCTTCACAAGGAGTGAGGACCTGATTAACAGGTATAGGTCAGCAATAGAGATAATTAGGAGGAAGGGTGGGAACCCTGTCATATGTGGTATTTTGCCAAGGAGAAGAGTTGGAGATGAATGGTTGTCCAGGGCAATTGGTGCCAATTGCTGGCTGGACAAATACTGTAAGGAAAATGCAGTAACATTCAATGACAACTGGGAGTCTGGGACCTCTTCTATGGCAGAAATGACATGTATGCCAGGGATGGGGTTCACTTATCTAGAAACAAACGACTTCTTAGAAGTAGTTCAGGATTGTTTTTTGAAGCAGTTTGTGACAGAGCCTACAAGGGGAAATAACCTGCTTGACTTGGTTTTGGCAAACAAGGAAACCCTTGTTAATAATTTAGAAATTACCGAGGAACTTGGCACAAGCGATCACAAATCAATTACCTTTAGCATTGAATGGAGGTATGATAGTAGGGATAATTCAGTAATGGTCCCAGGTTTTGGCTTAGCAGATTACAATGGGCTTAGAGAACACTTATCATCTGTGGACTGGAGTAACGAAGAGAGCTATCAGTATGACAGCTTTCTTGACACAATACATGCTGCCCAAAGGACCTTCATCCCATATAAGGAAATTAGATCGAATAGAAATGACCCCAAATGGATGAATAATAGGCTCAGATATCTTATAGGACAGAAAAAAGGAATTTATAGGAGCATCAAAAGAGGTGAGGGTCATCTTATGAATTGGTATATTGACATTAAGAAGGACGTTAAAAAAGGGATAAGAAAAGCTAAACGGGACTATGAAATTAAAGTTGCTAGGGATTCGAAAACTAACCCAAAAAGTTTTTTCCAGCTTTATAGAACAAAAGTTAGAGATAAGATAAATCCCCTTAAAAATAACTCTGGACATCTCACTGACAAGAAGAATGAAATGTGCTCTATTCCTAATAATTATTTTCTCTCGGTTTACACTCGGGAAGACACTAACTATATCCCAGTAATTAATTTTTATAGTGGGCCTGATTATGATAAATTATGCAATATCACAGTCACTACCGAAATGGTTATCAGACGATAGACCGGTTAAAGTAAAATAAATCCCCGGGCCCTGATGAACTTTTTTCAAGAGTCTAAAATGGAACTTTGTGAACCACTGACTAATATTTTTAATATTTCTCTTCAAACAGGTGTAGTGTCTGATATGTGGAAGATGGCTAATGTAATCCCTATTTTTAAAGCAGGGGACAAGTCGTTACCGTCAAATTACTGCCCAATAAGCCTTACCTCAATTGTAGGCAAATTACTAGAGTCAATTATAGCTGATAATATAAGAAGCCATCTGGATAAGCACAGCTTGATTAATGATACTCAACATGGGTTCACGAGGGGCCGTTCCTGCCTAACTAATTTATTAACCTTCTTCAGAAAAGCTTTTGAGGCCGTTGATCATGATAAAGAATTCGATATTGTTTATTTAGATTTCAGTGAGGCTTTTGATAGAGTACCGCACCAGAGACTGTTAAAGAAAGTGGCAGCTCATGGCACTGAGGGAAAGGTGCTGTCATGGATCGAGTCATGGCTCACCAATAGGAAGCAGAGAGTATGCTTAAATGGGGTTAAATCCGAGTGGGGATCTGTAACAAGTGGCGTTCCACAGGGATCAGTCTTGGGCCCGTTGTTGTTTATAATATATGTCAATGACCTTGATGAGGGAATTACTAATGATACGAGCAAATTCGCTGATGACACAACGATAGGTAGGATAATTGATTCAAACTTAGATGTCACGGAACTTCAGGAGAATTTAGACAAACTCAGTTCGTGGTCAGAAAAGTGGTAGATGCAGTTCAATGTAGATAAATGCAAGGTTCTGAAGCTCGGGAGTGTCCCTAACCCTAGTACTTATCAGTTAAATAACGTAGAACTTAGCCATACAGATTGCGAAAAGGATTTTTGGGTTATGGTAAGCAGCAACCTTAAGCCAAGACAGCAGTGCCTAAGCATACGTAACAAAGCAAACAGATTACTGGAATTTATATCTAGAAGTGTAAGCAACAGAAGTCCAGCGGTTATTTTATAGCTTTGTGCATCATTAGTAAGGCCTCACCTAGATTACGCAGCTTAGTTCTGGTCTCCATATTACAGAATAGATATAAATTCGCTAGAAAATTAAAAAAGCATTAGAAATCTCCAAAATTTTAAATACATAGCATTAAGGAAACCTCTTCCCGACGAAGAACGATTGAAGACTCTTAAACTACTTTCACTTGTAAGACGAAGAATGAGGGGAGACATGATTGAAGTGTATAAGTGGAAGACGGGCATTAACAAAGGGGATATAAATAAGGTTTTGAGAATATCACTTCAAGAAAGAACCCACAATATTGGATTCAAATTAGATAAGTTTAGATTTCGAAAGGATATAGGAAAGTATTGGTTTGTAATAGGGTAGTTGATGAGTGGAACAGTCTACCTAGTAGGGTTGTTCAAGATAAAACGTTGGGTAGTTTCAAATTTAGGTTAGATGGATACATGAGTGAGAGGGGTTGGATTTGAGTGGGACTTGCATAATCAGGAAATGGAGTCATCAAAACTTGTTTCTTGGGTAGCATTGTAAATTGGGTTGGGCAAATATTTTGTTAGTGGGAAGGATTGTTAAAGACCTGCCTAGTATGGGCCAACAGGCCTGCTGCAGCGTTCCTCCTTTCTTATGTTCTTATGTTCTTAAGAGTGGGTGTGGGTGGGTGTGAGCTGGATCTCACTAGCTTGTGATACTAGGTCAGATGCTGTGCTCCTTCCTTAAGTGGAAGTGACCTGACTAGGTGGGTAATTGGGCTAATCCGGGGGGAAGGACATGGGCCTGCTTCGCATGGGTCAGTAGGCCTGCTGCAGTGTTCCTTCTTTCTTATGTTCTCATGCACTTTCAATGATACAGAAGCAACGGTCTAATGCAGAGGACTGTCACTACTCTGTAATCTCTGGTGGATACTCACGATGATGTCTGCTGAAACTGCCCCATACCAGCTATGTTGGTTCTTCGTTTACACACAAAATGAATGGAGCACCACAAACTGTCTCCCTCCACGCTCCACGCACTTGCCCGTCTCCAGTACAGTATCTGACTGGATCTTTTCTCTGTATAAATACTCCTCTTGTTTGTGCGCGTGTCACTGATTATATATATATATATATATATATATATATATATATATATATAAATATATATATAATATATATATATATATATATATAATAATATATATATATATATATATATATAGAAGAAATCACGAAACAAATGATTCTGAATCATTAACAGAACTCGCTCGATACTGCATTCCCATGCCCAGCCCTGTGTGACCTGAACAAAGTACACATGTCTCTGTCCACCATACCAATACACCAGGACATTCGTGGTCGTGGAGCCTCAGAGACTAATTTCAATCTCATCCTGTTTGGTGTACCAGGCTCACAAATAGTCTATATATCAATGAAATCACGAAACAAGTGATTGTAAATCATTAACAAAACTACGGCTTGACCACGAGTCGATACAGCGTTCCCACGCCCAGCCCGGTGTGACCTGAACGAAGTATGTATATTTACCAACATTACCTAAATCTCACAGGCTTTCAAATAAAATCAATGCATAAAAAATAGCAACAAATAAGCAATAATAATGCATACTTCTAGTTCCAATATAATTGTTTTCTGTAGTTTATAATTTGAATTATCTTGCTATTAAGTGTTTTAATTAATTAGAATATTACTTAGGAAAGAAATACGAATGCATTTAGAAGAGAAAGGAAAGGCTGTAAAATGCAGGAAATGGATTATACAGCCTTTCCTTTTTCTTCTAAATGTATTCGTATTTCTTTCTTACGTAACATTCTAATTAATTAAAACACTTAATAAGTAACGTCAAATTCAGGCTATCTTGGCTATTTCATTACCTCATTGCCAAAGTGATCTATGAGAATGATATCATACGTTTTCCTTCTCTTGTAGAGCTCCAACACTACGGGAGACTGGTACACCTTGTCCACCCGTGATGGTGTTACGTTCTTCATAATGCCCAATAGATCTGGGAAAACATAAGTATTATAGCAATATCAATGTCAATACATTATTCCTCTTGAAAATTATCTGCGTCAAAACTGACCTAACTTCAATGAAATGTTCAGAATGGAACAACGTTATTGAGCTAAAATTATCTTGAGAATAAATATAAATATCAGAAAATATCGTGAGCTGAGAGAATAAATATAAACATTAGAGAGAAATCATGAGCTGAGAGTGTCTTTCCATCGACACCATGCCCAGCCCTTCTAGGGTAGGGTAGGTGCCTGAGCCAGAGCTTGTTGCTCACGAGACTGTCATTCCCATTAGCCCCCTTGGGGCGGGGATGGCAGATCAGAGAGGCCTAGCTTGTGGCTAGGCCTGGGGACAGTTGGTCTCAAAGATGAGAGGGTACTTGTGCCTCCTTCCATGGGAGACTTAGGTCTCAGACACTCCCTAAAGAGGGAGCCAAGGCCGGGCCACCACTTGGAAAAGGCCCGGGCCGGGAGAATACCCGCGAATCTTTAATAATAATAATAATAATAAGTGTCTTTCAACATCCTGCATGGCAAGTAGTGCAAGGTTTCAGGGACGGGAAATCCTGTTACAAACCTACTGGAGTTCTATGACAGGGTGACAGCAGTAAGACAAGAGAGAGAGAGAGAGGGGTGGGCAGACTACATTTTCTTGGACTGTAAGAAAGTGTTTGACACAGTTCCACGCAAGAGATTAGTGTAAAAACTGGAGGACCAGGCAGGGATAACAAGGAAGGCTCTGCAATGGATCAGGGAATACCTGTCAAGAAGACAACAGCGAGTCATGGTAGGTGGCGAGGTGTCAAAGTGGGCGCCTGTAACGATCGGGGTGCCACAGGGGTCAGTCCAGGACCAGTGCTGTTTCTGGTATTTGTGAACATGACGGAAGGAATAGACTCCGAAGTGTCTCTGTGTGCAGATGTGAAGTTGATGAGAAGAATTCAATCAGAGGAGGACCAGGCAGAACTACAAAGGGATCTGGACAGGCTGCAGGCCTGGTCCAGCAACTGGGTCCTGGAGTTCAACCCCACCAAGTGCAGCATACGGGCGCCTAGCAAACCTAAGAACAGCATTCCGACATCTTAATAAGGAATCGTTCAGGACCCTGCACACTGTGTACGTTAGGCCCATATTGGAGTATGCAGCACCAGTGTGGAACCCACACCTATCCAAGCATGTAAGAAAACTAGAGAAAGTGCAAAGGTTTGCAACAAGGCTAGTCCCAGAGCTAAGGGGTATGTCCTACAAGGACAGGTTAAGGGAACTCAACCTGACGACACTGGAAGATAGGGGAGATAGGGGGGACATGATAACAACATATAAAATACTGAGAGGAATCGAAAACGTGAACAGAGACAGGATGTGTTCTTTGTCCGAGCACCCCAGAGCAGGACATTTAAACGACAAAGAGCACATTGTATTCTTTTCTTTCATTATTTGAAAAGGTCACACAGAATAATAGCTATCCTTGTCTACAGTATCTAACGAGAAACTTATTTTCTCAAACTATATGACCTGTTATAAACGATTAGAAAAAGCTTGGGGCTGGCTTTTTATATCTTATATTTTCCATATATATATATATATATATATATATTATATATATATATATATATGTGTGTGTGTGTGTGTGTGTGCAAGGAATTCGCAAGAGCAGCGAAATATACACAAACACTGATCTCTGGCTGAAGGAGACTCGAACCTACGAACCCTTGGGAAACAAGGTACGCAGTGCTTACCAATCAACCCCACTGGACCAATACCTTGGGTCCAGCTTTGCGCTAGACTTTGATCCAAGGCAGCCAGCTTTCAGGGAGAAGGGCTTACAGCGAATTCCTTGCTTTTTTAATATCTCTAGTAAGGCTGATGCATCAGGGGATGAGATGAAAAAGCTGTAAGCCTTCTCCCTGAAAGCTGGCTGCCTTGGATCAAAGTCTAAACGCAAGCTGGACTCCAAGGTATTGGTCAAGTGTGGGTAGATTGGTAAAGCACTGCGTACCTTGTTCCAAGGTTCGTTAGGTTCGAGTCTCCTTCAGCCAGAGATCAGTGTTTATATATATATATATATATATATAATATATATATATATATATATATTATACATATATATGCTAATTTCATTCAAGCCTAGAGTCATCCACACCATCGTGTGTCCTTGGGTAGGGAGTACAACATCCAGTTCCACTGGATGCCCCACTTGTAAGGATCGTATGGTCCAGTGGATTAGGGTGTCATGCGTTTTCCTCCACCATGAGGCAGGCCAAAGCAGCATGGGTTCGAGTCCTTGGCTAGTGCAGTGTTGTTATTGATCAATATCACTCGTTCGTGGTCATGAGCTTGAAATATTGCAGAAATGAGTGAGAGACCTCGGCAGATTCGTTGAGAGGGACGCTGTTGCTAATAATGTGGCTGGATGACAAAAACACTCAATACCCCAGGCACACGAGTGCCTAGTGCCAGAAAGATTGAGTATTATAGGAACAGAGGATAGTCAATCCACTAGCAAAATTAACATTGATAACATAACGATTATCAAAATTATCAGTCAGACTTTGGGACATTGTAAAGGACTTTACATTTATTACATAGAAAATTCCCGCACAATTAAGGAAAAAGTAAATTGGGTCTATGGCAGACTCACTTATACCTAAAGGATATATCTAAGGGTAAACAGCTATAGTTTATCTATTCCACCATACTGTCAGGCAGAAGCTGGTCGAACCCAGGATAGCAGGAAAGAAGCAGGCCCTAATTCCCTGAAATGGAACCCTGCCACTTAAGACAATCCAATAGATTCTTATAAGAATCTTTATTTAGATTGTGCACAGTAACACCAATTATAAATAAGTCACTGATAGACCTGTAATATTTCCTTACCAACTGAGACCAAATCTGAGACCAAGCCTCGGGAGGGGAGTTGTCCATAATTGTTAACAGAGGTTAATGATGGAGGGTGGTGATAATAGTAAATTGTAAGCGTTGAATAACCCAGAACTACCATAATATAATGAATGTTTATCATGTTCAATAATTGCTGACACTAGAATATTTTTTTCTAGGCATGAAGTTGCGTTGTTTTAACTTCCAGAGGTTGGCCAGTCTGTCCCACTTAAGATAATTTGCAGCTTTGGCACCCAATCCTGTACACACTGCCTATACAATGTTGCGAGGAATTCTTGATCGTCATGCTCTCAACTAACTGTGACTTGTGATGAATGGTTTGAAAAACCGACATGTTGAAGATTGAGACACTTATGCAGCATATAGGAATCTTTATTCAGGAAACTGTTTCCTGAATAAAGATTCCTATATGCTGCATAAGTGTCTCAATCTTTAACTGTGACTTCTTAAAATCAATTTTTATTGGATCTCTTTAGGGTATTTCCAGTGTATGGCAGGACAAGCACATTTTTGTTCTGAGAAGTTATTCTAGGTTCAGTCCTATGGTAATTTTTCTAGCTGCCAGGAAAGCAGTTACTACAAACTCCTTAACATAACATAGTTTTGTAGCAATATCAAAGATTTTCCTGATTTCCTCATCAAGAAACTCAGGGCTACATACTCTGTAAGCTCTCAAAAACAGTGAGAAAGACACTTGTTTTTACTGTAGTTTCATGTAAGAGTAATAATGGTATCCCTATATACCGTTAACTTAAACATTCTATCAACCCTGTAAATCAGAACATCTAAAAATGGAAGTTTTAAAGTCCACTTTTTTCTCTACAGTGAATTTAATAAAGGTGAGGAGAGAGTTAAGTCTCGGTAAAAATGTGTTCAGGTTCAAATAATTCGGCCAAAGACAGAAGATGTCAGCTACATATCTGAACCGTTTCACAGGGCAGGATATCTTTCGACAGCTTAGTCTCAAGAAATTCTATAGGAGAGACAAAGGATTTCTCACAGTCTTTCAATGCCTTTGAGAGTAAAATTTCCCTTCAGACTCAAACTTGCAATTATCCACACACAATCAACTCAGTAATCTAATTCTTCTTCCAGATAAGATAACACATCAGGGACAGGTAGACGGGTGAACAACGCTGTGACGTCAACACTTACTACTGTAAAATTGTTAGACATATTAACATTATGCAATCTGTCAATGAGATAAACAATGTATTTTTTTATGTGGGCTTCCGAGATGTTGACAAGTAATAGAGTTAATGAAATAAGCCTAGACCCTTACTGAGAGGTAACGATTAAGTGATTAAACAGTTAGCAGTTATATGTATCGTTTGATTAAAACTCATAAGCCCGGTTTTCCAGCCAGACCTATTATTAGCTCTGTAGGATTGAATCCTGGAGGCTGGAAGTACAGTGCCTGCACTCGGGACGGGTGGATATATGTTTCAGTTTTTGAACTGTAATGTAGGCACACCTCTAGCAAGACAGTGATGGAGTGAGTGATGATGAAAGTGTTTCTTCTTTTACGGGTCACCCTGCCTTGGTTGGAAACGCCAACGTGTTTTATATTTCCCAGTAAAAGTAGGTCTTAGACAAGGATGTGTGATGTCACCGTGGTTGTTCAACATATTTATAGGTGGGGTTGTAAGAGAAGTGAATGCGAGGGTCTTGGCAAGAGGCATGGAGTTAAAAGATAAAGAATCACACATAAAGTGGGAGTTGTCACAGTTGCTCTTTGCTGATGACACTGTGCTCTTGGGAGATTCTGAATAGAAGTTGCAGAGGTTGGTGGATGAATTTGGTAGGGTATGTAAAAGAAGAAAATTAAAAGTGAATATAGAATTGAGTAAGGTTATGAGGATAACAAAAAGATTAGGTGACGAAAGATTGGATATCAGATTGGAGGGAGAGAGTATGGAGGAGGTGAATGAATTCAATATTTGGGAGTGGACGTGTCAGCGGTTTGGGTCTATGAAAAATGAGGTGAATCATAGAATTGATGAGGGGAAAAGGGTGAGCGGTGCACTTTGGAGTCTGTGGAGACAAAGAACTTTGTCCTTGGAGGCAAAGAGGGGAATGTATGAGAGTATAGTTTTACCAACGGGTGTGAAGCATGGGTGATGAATGTTGCAGCGAGGAGAAGGCTGGAGGCAGTGGAGATGTCATGTCTGAGGGCAATGTGTGGTGTGAATATAATGCAGAGAATTCGTATTCTGGAACTTAGGAGGAGGTGAGGGATTGCCAAAACTGTTGTCCAGAGGGCTGAGGAAGGGTTGTTGAGGTGGTTCAGACATGTAAAGAGAATGGAACGAAACAGAATGACTTCGAGAGTGTATAAATCTGTAGTGGAGGGAAGGCAGGGTAGGGATCGGCCTTGGAAAGGTTGGAGGGAGGGGGTAAAGGTTTTGTGTGCGAGGGTCTTGGATTTCCATGAAGCATGCGTGAGCGTATTTGATAGGAGTGAATGGAGACAAATGGTTTTCAATACTTGGCGTGCTGTTGGAGTGTGAGCAAATTAACATTTATGAAGGGATTCAGGAAAACCGGCAGGCCGGACTCGAGTCCTGGAGATGGGAAGTACAGTGTCTGCACTCTGAAGGAGGGGTGTTAATGTTGCAGTTTTATAAACTGTAGTGTAAATCACCCTTCTGGCAAGACAGTGATAGAATGAATGATGATGAAAGTTTTTCTTTTTCGGGCCACCCTGCCTTGGTGGGAATCGGCCGATGTGTTAACAAAGAAAATAATATATATGTTAGTGGTTGCATATTATATATATATATAATATATATATATAAAATAATATATATATATATTTTATATATAATAATATATTTATTTATTTATATACATATATATATGCAACCACTGACAAGTGGTTTTTTGCAATTAACGAACTGCTGCTAGCTGGGGCTAGTACCTGTGTTGTTTTAACCAGACTCAGAGGAACAAATCAAATTCACAGCTCTCTAACCACTGACTCATCAATCCTACAAACATCATGTACCCAGTAGTACTGGGCATGTTTCATGATACGATGACATATTTGGCTGTGGTAAGCTCAACTAATTTCTTTCTACACCCGTTTGAAATACCAGCCTTCATGAGCACTACACATATTAATGCATCCACGAACAAGTGGTTTTTAAGGATTTAACAAACCGCGGCTAGCCAGTAATCGAACCCTATGATTACAGCGTCGTGAATCTTGACTTACTTCCCACCAAGCGGGCTAAAATAACATGGGTTCAATCCTGTGCTAACCACAGTTTGCATATAGTATGTGCTCGTATACTTTTTGTATCATCCTTACCGAGTTCATTTTCAAGAATTCTGAACGTGTTATTGTTTCTTGCGAATTTGATTCCAGTGTTATATTGCGTGATGTTGCTGGTGGTGGAGAAGTTCGGGTGGCTGGCTAACACATCCACCTGTAACATGGAAATAATGTAACATGGTGTAAATAAGCCTTGAGTGTAGTTTTCTACCGTGTGTATTGTGGCATCTGTTATGTGATTCATTTTATTTCTCGGTTCATTAGTGTCTCCGGATCCTGAGTTCACTGTATGGGAAAACATTAGCATGGAGAAACATCGCCTAGCTTCAGCTACGCGCCCATACTAATCTGGGAGCTGTGTGGCGAAGAATTTCTAAAAATAATTCAAATCTACTTATACTGAAAATTTTTGAGCTGTCTGCCTGGACTGGGAGATAATGTGGGCAAATAATTTCAAGTGTCTTTATTTCAGTGGCTGACTCAAATTTAAAAGGGATTCTCACAGTATACAAACAGAGACATCACGTCAGGTGATCCAATTAAAGCTCTAGCACCATTCTTATCCTGTTATATATCAATGTTTTCCAATCTGAATTTAGGTAAACAACAATAATTGATCTTTATCTAAAGGATGTTCCTAATGGTAGGATTTGAAATTATCTCAGCAAGAATATCAATCCTATACTAGATGCAGGATCCTTAGCTTACCCCTATGAAAATATACGATAAGTGATGACTGGATAACTAAATCCTCACAAGTGCAACTAATGTGACATTTTATTGGGGCAACGTTTCGCTCTTCAGGAGATTTGTCAAGCCGTTACAAACAGTACATGGACACAGAGGGTATATATAGGCTCAGAGTGAGGTGCAATACTAGTGGTAGTAGTAGTAGTAGTAGTAGTGATATTAGTAGTAGTAGTAGTAGTAGTAATAATACAATATGTTAGAACAATTAACTTGCACATGAGTAAAAGGATATAAAAGCTATTACTTGGGAAACATAAAAATAGGTTAGACAAATATTTCTATTGGAGGCTAGACAGAGGCAGCCTGTTTCAATGTTCATTCTCTGTAATGTGCTTGTGTAGTATTAACAGGAAAAGACTAAGTGATGGCAGGGTTTACTGTTTTCAGGAGGATTCTTGCTAAGACTTCAGAGATGGTGAAGCTGCCTTTGTTTTGTTTAATGTATTTGAAACAGCTATTAGTGAAGATTCAAGGGACTTGGGGTCTGGCGGAAATTAGTTTCTTTGATCACAGTTGGGCGTCCCTGAACTTCATGAGATGATTGGTGGAATTTCGGTGTTGTACAACAGGCGTTGTTCAAGTTATCGTTTTCCCACATGCGTAAATGTGTTCATTGAGGCGGGTGTCGAGGTTTCTTGCTGTGTCACTTACATAAATCTTGTTTTCAGCCTCCACAGGGGATAGTGTAAACCCCTGCATTGACTGGTTCGTGGTTCTTGGATTTTGTTTCTGGTTAGATCCTTTATCGAAGTGCTGGAAACAATGGCGACTCTGGGGTTAGCTTGTGAAAGTACTTTAGAAACGTTCAGTGCAACCTGGCTGTTGGGAAGATTTATAACTTTGTTGGGAGTGATGTTGGTGCGTGGAGAATTAATGACTGAATAGCTCTTTCCTTGCAGTCTTTGATGAAAAAAAGGGAAAGGAAAATGTAAATCAGTGAAGGTTTGGTGAATGTATGTACATCCCCGTCAAGAAACTCAGGACATACAAATTCGGTATGCTCTAGGAAAAACCCGATGATGATGCCTCTTTTGGTCTTAGTATCTTGACTGGGAAAAGACTGGAATAGACTGTTCCTAAGAGCCATACCGAATTTGGTAGTCCTGAGTTTCTTGACGAGGAATGTACATACATTCACCAAACCTTCACTGATTTACATTTTCCTTCCTTTTTCATCAAAGACTGCAAAGGGAAAGAGCTCTTCAGATCATTAATTCTCCACGCACGAATCCTCCTGAAAAAAAGTAAACAAAATCCTCCTGAAAACAGTAAATCCTGCAATCACATAATCTCTCCTGTTAATACTACATAAGCACATTACAGAGAATGAACATTGAAACAGGCCTTTTCTATCCAGCCTCCAATAGAAATATTTGTCTAACCTATTCTTATGTTTCCCAAGTAATAGCTTTTATAAACCCCTTTTACTTAGTGCAAGTTAATTGTTCTAACATATTGTATTACACTACTACACTTATATCACTACTACTACTACCACCACTAGTATTTGCACCTCACTCTGAGCCTATATATACCCTCTGTGTTCATGTACTGTATTGACAAAGCCCTGGAGAACGAAACGTTGCCACAAAAAAATGTCAAAATTAGTGCACTTATGTCCTTTTATTTAAAATATTTTTTACAGCTAAATCCCCTTCGAAAAAGGGAAAAAAAAAAACCCCCTTTCCC